CCCCAAAACCCCAAAACCCCAAAACCCCAAAACCCCCAGATAAAAGATTTGATAGTTAACAGCTAAATATTACTAAATTAATAATTTTGGAAATATGAAAGAAGAGTAAAACAAAATGAATCAGTAACAGCACCAAGCACAACAGTAGCAATAACCATTGGCAATGAATTCAAACTCAGAGTATACGGGAGGTTAATCAAAAGATAACATTGATGGAGCCCCTTTAAGTACCGAAGGCCAGATTATTATAGAGGAAAAGCAGAGTAAACCAAATGGAGAGGTGAATATAATTCAATACATCAGGGGGAATTTCTTAGGAAAGGTATTTTCACTTTTTCCAATTTAAATTTAAAACTGAATTGTTGTCTAGGGAGGTTTCGCTAAATGCTACGAATTCACCAGAGTAAAGGATAAGATCATATTTGCTGGTAAACTCATTGCTAAATCAACTCTCACTAAGACCAGAGCAAGATAAAAGGTAAGTTGAAATTCTTGATAATGATGCAAGTTCGCATTTGCTGTATGAACAGCTCATAATAATCATTTTTTCGAAATGATTTTAATCGGTCATGCCTCTTAATTATCTATTCATATTTATCTATATATCTTATCCCAAAGCATATATTAATCAACTATCCAATATAGTTACTCAGTGAGATCAAGATTCATAGATCTTTGGTTCATAGACATATCGTAGGATTTGAGCATTTCTTTGAAGATTGTGAGAATGTATATATTTTACTAGAACTTTGCAAAAGTCAATCTATGAATGAATTACTAAGAAGGAGAAAGCGTTTACATGAGTTAGAAGTTCAATGCTATACAGTGCAAATGATATCTGCACTTAAATACATGCATGCCCATAAAGTTATCCATAGAGAGTAAGTAGTATTACCATAGTATTGAACTTATGTTTATAGTTTAAAACTTGGTAATCTCTTCTTAAATGATAAGATGGAAGTCAAAATAGGAGATTTCGGTCTAGCAACGAAATTAGAGTTCGATGGTGACAGAAAACGCACGATTTGTGGCACTCCCAACTATATCGCTCCTGAGATTCTTGAGGGAAAGACTGGACATTCATATGAAGTAGACATATGGAGTCTAGGAGTAATCATTTATACTCTTCTCATTGGAAAGCCACCCTTTGAGACTCAAGATGTTAAGACCACTTACACCAAAATCAAAAAGAACCAATATAGTTTCCCAGAGCAAATTAAAGTTTCAAAGCAATCAAAAAGCTTAGTAGCAAGCATATTGCAGCTTGACCCTGCTCAAAGACCATCCTTAGATGAGATTCTCAATCACGAATTCTTCAGAATCGGCCAATCAATACCTAAACATCTACCTTCTTCCACACTCGCTTGTCCACCATCTGAAAATTACATTAGATAATTCTGGCCTATGCTTGGCAGACAAGGCTCAACTAATGATCTAGTGAGAAGAGGAAGTGATTTAAATAAAGAAAATTAGAAGAGGACTGGTAGAGATGGTCTCATGACTGATAGAGGTGGAAACAGAGGAGCTACATTGAGTCCAACAGCACATGGTTAATCTGAAGCCGATCGAAGATTATCTGGCAAGTATAATAGCTAATAATCTATCGTCGAATGGAACGACCAAGAGGAGGTATTCATCAATAAATGGAATCAATCTGATAAGTATGGAGTAGGCTACCAACTTACCAATGAGGGCTCGGGAGTCTATTTCAATGACAACACTCTGATATCACTATAGCCAGATAATTTTACAATTGAATACATGGAAAAAGGAATAGATAAGACCGAAAAAAGAGAACTCTTTTCAATTAAATAATACCCTTAAACACTCAAGAAAAAGGTGACATTGCTAATTCATTTCAAGAATTATCTTGAGGGTATTGAAAATAAAGCTTAAATTCCATAGCAGAGACCGCAGCTTAAATAAAGCAGTTCGCAACCAACAGTCTATATCAAAAGGTGGCTGAAGGTCTAGCATGCTCATCTCTTTAGACTTAGCAATAAACTAGTGTAGGTGATCTTTGAGGACAAGAGTGAACTCATAATGTCCAGCTTATCAAAGAAAGTGCTATATATAAACAAGAAAAGTGAAAGATAGATCTATCCTCTAGCAACAGCTTTAGACTCTGGCAATAATGAAATGATTAAGAGATTAAATTACTCCAGATAGGTTTTAGAATCTACTATCAAATAATAAGCTGCTAGGCCACTAAGTGGAGCATTAACTCAAAGAATCAGTAGCAATGAGGCTAGAGGACAACTATAACAGTAGCAAATGATGCAAGGAGCTGAGACTTAAAGATATAGCACTACTGGCGGAAACAAATAAAAAGTTATATAATAGCAGCAATAGATGGATCCAACTGCAGATATGCTTCTGTCTACTGCTTAAAGACAAAGACTAATGCAATAAAATCAGCAGAACTAAGAGTTTAGTCCTCCAGCGAAGCAATAAATACAACAGATTAATACTAATCAAATAGAAATGGTAGACAAGAAGAGACCAATCGGCACTGCAAGATGAATAAATGTTCGAGGGAGGCACTATAACTCCTAAGTTTGACTTGTAAACGATATAATTAATATAGGCTGTGGCTTGTGCTTGCATATCTTTCAAACAATCATTTCCTCAGTTTTTGGTCAATTTAAAAGAATAATAGTTTCATTAGCAAAAAATATGAGTGGCTTATGATATGTTTGACTAGAATGCAAGTGCAAACCTTAAAGATTATTTATAAATATTAAAGTAAAAAGTTAAGATTCATATATATCTCATATGTAGTAAAATAACTTATATATCACTATTTGTTAAACGAGGAAAAGTTTCTTGATTAATAATGGATCATTACATGCATAGCTAAGGCACTTCAGACTTTCATCTGGCCATGCCAAACTGTGTCTTTGGACTAATTTCCTGATTAAACTCTGAGTATGTAATTCTTCCATCTCTCACTCTATCATATCTATCTATCAATGCACAGATTTCTTTCTCACTTACATATAGATTGTATTTAATTAACAACTCCTTTATCTAAATTAAGTGATTATAGAGCAATTTTAAATTTACCTCTTCTTTATCTAAGTAGCCATCAGTTTTATTGTCAATCACTTGGAAACAGAGATAAGGATTAAATCCTTGTTTTCCTGCTAACTACAATCTAATCTTCTCAGCTTCATTTTCATTTTAGATGTGAGTATTCCAGCACTGAATAAATAGCTCCCTAGTTTCTTAATAGAAAACCTTCTCTTTGGGAACTTGACCATGATACATATGTAGGGGTGCTTTTTTAGCCAGTAAACTTGCATGGAAAGCATCGATTGGCAAGAAACTATCACAGAACTCGCTATACTTCAACCTTCCATCTTCATCTTTATCATATCTCGAGAAGTATAGTTTAAGATCTTCCAAGTTAGTAAATACATTTAGCTATGCTAAGCCATCTTTTACTTCTTAAGGATTTATCCAACCTTTACCCTCAGAGTCAAAGACCCTAAAAGCATCTATTAAGTTAAAGTCAGTTCTTAGAGATAAATCAATCTTTACTCTCTCAAGTCTTTTCTCTAGGTCAAGTTAGTCTCTAAACAAGTTAACCATCATTTGCTCAGCAACTTAGGGATTGTAAGAATCAAACATAGCACCACTCTTCAATATAGATTCCTCTTTATTTAGTGAGCCGAAATCAGCATTTGAATCTAGCATTCCGAACTTTACATTGGAAGTTGCTCCACCTCGTGTGGGTGTCTTAAAGTTGGATGACTTCATCATTCTATTTGGAGACCCAGTGGCAGTCATATCAAAGCCATTAGAACTCTTAAGAATAGACTTAGACTTAGTGTTTTGCAGATGCACACTCATTTATTGAGACATTGGAGAAAGCTTTGCCGCAGATTTTGTTGTGTTTTTATTCGGTGTTTACATGTTCTCATTTTTGGCTTTGCTTTAAGTGGCCTGCGCATTTGGTGATTAATTTTACTGGTATTGTATGTCCCCGTATAAGTCTAACTAGACTCTCTTTTTCAAGGGTGAGGTAGAGAGCACGTCCCTATAAGATCTGTCCAAAGCTTGAATCTAGACTGCACTTTCCACTCCTCCCTCTTCAGCTTTCTTATTGACTTTCTTTCCTTTCGACTAATCTACTTAGTTCTACTTTTTAATTCTTTGCAAGTCTTCTATTTTTGCCATTTATTCTCTGATTATCATTTTCGAGTATGGTTCCTAGGCTTTCAAGCCAGTGATGAATTCTTCTTTAGTGAGTTTAGAGTCTGCATCTAAATCTAACCTTCTAATAATGGCAATGCAATCTTCATCTGTGGCTTTGAGTTAATTATTTCTGAAGAAACTCTTAATGTTTGTTGCGTCTACAAAGCCGTACCCCCAATCATCAACTGAATTGTAAACCCCTTCTTCAGTGTATTCAAGCGCAGATTCCAATTGCTACTTGATTTTCTCAGTTTCTCTGTGCAGTTCAATTTCAGACATAATAAGTTTAGTCAAATCTCTCTCCACATCGAGGGTTAGGTAATCACTTTTGGCTATATACATATTTGGTCTTTGAGTGGCCTGTGCTCTAAGTGGAGGGTTATCACAGGGCAATATCATTTGCATAAAATCAGGGTAATTCAGCCTGCCGTCTTCATCAGAGTCAAAGAACTTGACTACATAATAGCAATCTGCTTCAGTCACGCTATGAATCCCATTATCCCTCAAGAAATTCAGGATTTCAATTGAATTGATAAAACTGTCTTCTCCTCTATCAATTCTTTGGAATAGCGAATACGGTTCTACATTCTCATTGCTTGCTAAAAGCTGCCTCTAAATTTCTAATTATTATTCGCTTTTTGCTATAGTAATCAGCAGTTTCTTTAACTTAGCTTAGCTTGCAAGACTGAGAGTTGTTTTCTAAGTTTTGCGATTCTAAGTGGCTCCTCCACGGACTTTCGAGGTCATTACTTCAAAATAAAATTTAATTGAATTTGCAAAAATTATTATTTTTCTTCACTTCTTTGCTCATTCAATTCATAGCAAATGGGGTTTTGGGGTTTTGGGGTTTTGGGGTTTTGGGGTTTTGGGG